GTATCCAAATAAAAGTCATGCCCATACTTTCACCCGGCAATTCCATTTCTAGAAATTTATCCCTCAGCAATACTTGAACAAGCGGGCAGAGATGTATGCAAAGTGACCTTTACTGTAGCAAAATGGCCCATATAGGTTGAAAACAACCTATATGTGCCTATCAGCAAGGGTTTAAATTTTGCCACATACATATGGAAGGTTACCTTGTAGCCAGTAAAGATAGATCTTGATGTACTGAGTTTTATTATGAAAAAAATTATAGAACATATATATGGTATTATCCCATTTATGGAGAGACATGCTTATATGTGCATTAAACTTTTCTAGGTTATGCAAGAAAGTTAACAGTGTGGTGTAGAAAGTGGGTGATGGGGAGAGAGGGAATTCTACTTTTCACTTTATTACTTTCTAAATCATTTGAATTTTTTTTTAACAATGAGCATGTATTGCTTTTAAAATTAAAAATTAGCAACCCACTGTCAAGTGTGGACCTTGTCTTGACCCTGATTTGAGCAAACAAATGATAAAAAGATATTTCAGAGACATCCAGGGAACTTTAATTCTAAATTGCATATTTGGGCTTCCTTGGTGGTGCAGTGGTTAAGAATCTGCCTGCCAATGCAGGGGACACGGGTTCGAGCCCTGGTCTGGGAAGATCCCACATGCCGCGGAGCAACTAAGCCCGTGCACCACAACTACTGAAGCCCATATGCCTAGAGCCTGTGCTCCTCAACAAGAGAAGCCACCGCGATGAGAAGCCCGTGCACTGCAATGACAAGTAGCCCCCACTCACTTCAACTAAAGAAAGCCCGCGTGCAGCAACGAAGACCTGATGCAGCCAAAACTAAATAATTTTTTTTAAATTGCATATCTGATGATAGAATTTCTATTAATATTGTGACGTATGATAATGGTAATGTGGCTATAATGTGGGTTAAATGACTTCAGGAAAAAGGGAGATACAGTTAAGCAAGTGTGGCAAAATCTTAACTGTTGGGTTTGGGTAGTCAGTATGGGGTAGCATAATATTGTCTTCTAGTAAAGAGGTATATATTTGTTGTATACATTTGAAAACTTTCATGATAAAACATTTTTTGATCAGTTAAATAAGCCAAGAGGAGCTGTTAAAGAAATGAGCTTCCAGAAAGTCTTTACAACAGTACTGAAATATGGACCCACTAAGTAGTAAGCTTCCATAGCTGGAGTATGAATGTGTTGGAAAATTGTGAAGGATTCCTGCCCTAGGAGGGCATTTGGACAAGATTGCTTTAAGGCAATTTCCCTACCCCACAACTAGTTTAAAAAATAACGAAGTACCTACTACATTCCAGATAATCAAGATATATTACCATCACCTGCTTTCAGGGCATAGAAGAAAAAGTCACAAACAGTACTTATATTTATTCTCATGAAATCAACAGTGAAAAGGCAATCTTAAGAATGGGAGAAAATATTTGCAATAATTTTTTAATAGGGGGTTAATATTTACACTATATAAAGAACAACTCAACAACAAAAAACCTATTAAAAAAATGGGTGAAGGACTTGAACTGACATTTTCCCAAATGGCAAACAAGCACATGAAAAAGTGCTCACTAATCATTAGAGGAATGCAAATCAAAACCACAATGAGATACCACCTCACACCCATTTAGGATGGCTACTAACAAAAAAAAAAACAGAAAATACGTGTTGGCCAGGATGTGGAGAAATTGGAACCCTTGTGCACTGTTGGTGGGAATGTAATATGATGCAGTTATTATGGAAAACAGTATGGTGGTTCCTCAAAATTTAAAAACAGAATTATCAAATGTCACTTCCAGGTAAATGCCCAAAATAATAGAAAGCAGGATCTCCAAGAGACACATAACTATACACGTCTATAGCAGCACTATTCACAACAGCCAAGAGGTAAAAGCAACCTAAATGTTCATTGACAGATGAATGGATAAAGTGTGGTATATCCACACAATGGAAAATTATTCAGACTTAAAAAGGAAAGAAATTCTGACACATGCCACAATATAGATGAACCTCAAGGACATTATGCTAAGTGAAAAAAAGTAAAAAATGAATACCATATGATTCCACTTAGACGAAGTATCTAGCTAGAATAGTTAAAATTCAGACGGAGGTAGAATGGTGGCTGCCAGAGGCTGGGGGAGGGAGGAATGGGAGTTGTTTAATGGGTTTCATGGGTAGAGTCAGCTTTGCAAGATGAAGAGTTCTGGAGATCACATAACAATGTGAATGTACTTAACACTAGTGAACTGTACTCTTAAAAATTGTTAAGATAGTGAATTTTATATTTACCACAATTTTTTAAAAAAGTGAATGTGCTTTAATTTTACCTGGTGATGAATAGATTGCTTTGACCCAAAGCTAGAATCTAAATCTTGGTACCAAAATCAAATTATATACCTTCTTAAAATAAATGAGGAAAAGACTCACATCCATTTTAGATCAAAGTAATAATAGAAGCACTATTTAGTGAATGCCTTCTAAGTGTCACACACTTTACAAATATTACCTTTAATTCTCACAAGGTAGATAATATTTCCATTTTATAAACAAGGAAACTGAAGCTCATTAAGGTTGTAATATTTCCTCAGGGTATAAGTGGCAGAGTCAGAATTTAAATGCAAGTGCATGTGGTTCCAAAGCTCACGTTCATTCCCCTCTACCACATGGCTGTGGGACATTATGCATGTGTGGGATCATTTGATTACAGCATTTCTCTAACCTTAGCTTGCTAAATGTCTAGAATTAAAAGGGGCAGGGAAAGAAAATCACTCCCTTAGTTACTCCTGTTCTATGCAGCAGGTATTATACCTTATTTACAGCAGATAGAAGGCAACCACTATTATTGATTCCATTCTGATTAGGCTTTAAAAATTTGGATGCAATCACTTTATTGCATTCTTCATGGAAATATTTAATTAGATCATGTATTCCTTATTTTTGAAAGTTAATAAACTTTATTTTTTAGAGCAGTTTTTAGGTTCATAGCAAAATTGAGCAGGAAGGACAGAGATTTCCGCTATGCCCTCTGTACCTGCCCATACCGCCTCATCCACAACCTCCTCCACTATTGACATCACCCGCTACAGTGGGTGTATTTACTACAGTTGATGAACCTACAATGACACATTGTTATCATCCAAAGTCCATTGCTAACATTAGGGTTCACTCTTGGTATTGCACATTCTGTGGGTTTTGATGAATGTATAATGATATATATCCACCATTGTAATATCATACAGAATAGTTTCACTGCCCTAAAAATCCTTTATGCTCTGCCTATTCATCTCTGCCCCCACCCCAACCCCTGGAGACCACTGATCTTTTTACTGTCTCCATAGTTTTTTCCTTTTTCATAGTGTCATATACTTGGAGCCATAAGGCCTTTTCATATTGGCTTCTTTCACTTAGAAGTACGCATTTAAATGTCCTCCATGTCTTTTCATGATGTGATAGCTCATTTCCTTTTAGTGCTGAATAATATTCCATGGTCTGGATGTACTACAGTTTATCCATTCACCTACTGAAAGACATCTTGGTTGCTTCTAAATTTTGGCAATTATGAATAAAGGTGCAATAAATATCAATGTGTAGGTTTTTGCAGACGTAAGTTTTCAACTCAATTAAGCAAGTACCAAGGAGCGTGATTACTGGATTACATGGTAAGAGTATGTTTAGTTTCGTAAGAAGCTCCCAAACTGTCTTCCAAGTAGCTGTAACATTATGCCTTACCACAAGCAACGAATGAGAGTTCCTATTGTTCCACATCCTCGCCAGCATTGTTCTTCTCCTTCAATATCGACTTGTTGTTCTGGGTCTTTTAATTTTCATATAAACTTTAGTCTGTTGATGTCCACAAAATGCTGGGACTTTGATTGGAATTGTGTTGAATCTATACATCAAGTTGGGAAGAACTAACATCTCAACAATATTGAGCCTTTCTATCCATGAACATGCAATCTCTCCATGCATTTTATTCTCCTTAGATATGTTGATATTTTATTGGAGTTTTGAAGTTAGCTTTGTAGTAGATCATGTATTCTTAATTTTGGTTAAAATCATGTCTGGCATGATGCCTCAGAGCCCCTAGCAACTTATCTTTCCAGGCCCTTTTCCATAGTTTTAAAGTAAGTATTTAGTAAGGTTACATTTTTCAGTATGTGGATATCAAAGAAAATAAACCTTGGGCTCTTTTTTAAAGTATAATTGACTTACAATATTATATAAATTTCAGGTGTACAATATAGTGATTTGATATTTCTACACATTATGATCACCAGTCTAGTTATCATGTCATCAGTGATTACATATTATTGACCATATTCCCTATGCTGTACATTACATCCCCATGACATTTATTTTATAACTGGTAGTTTGTACTCCTTAATCTCCCTCACCTATTTCACTCATCCCCCCTACCCACCTCCCCTCTGGCAACCACCAATTTGTTCTTTGTTTGTTTTGTCCATTCGTGTTTTGTTTTTAGATTCCACATGAGATCATACGGTATTTGTACTTCTGTCTGACTTATTTCACTTAGCATAATACCCTCTAGGTCTATCCATGTTGTCACACTTTAGTCTGTTTCTTAATTTTTTAATATGATGCTAATATATAATTATGTGAGACCTCTATGTGTTTCTTTCTGTATTTTAATACTTACTAAATACTTACACCAGGAGCTGTACTAAATGCTTTACATGTATTAGCTCAGATACTCTTCCAAATTATTCTACGAGGTAGACATTATTTTTATTCCTACTTATTGATTTGGCATAAAGAAGCTAATTAATTTGCTCAAGGTTTCACAGGTGGTAAATGGCTGAGTAGTGTTTTAAACCCAGAAAGTCTGATTCAAGAGTTTGTGCTCTGGGGAGCAGTATGGTTCAGTGTTCAGCAACCTGGGCTTTTTTCCTGCTAGAGTAGACGGCTTTTGGCATACCACAGATTCTCCCAAACTGATAACAACTGCACCTTGAATGCATATAAAAATAATATTTATTAACTTAGGTTGTACTATATATTTAGTCAAACCAAGAGATTAACACAAAAACGTAAAATCTTTAGACTCCATTCAGCTTGAATTTCATATTCTGGATAGGACAGGAGACTGTCTTTTGCTTAAAACAAAACAAGAAAGCAAAATGGTTTCAATGACATTTTGTAGGAGAGAGCAGACCTGTGGGGAGCCAAGGCTGAGCCAACCAGGCACTGTGGCTTATCTAACGAATTTGCTGCCCATGTGAGAGCCACCCTGCTCAGCCCCAATGCTGGTTTCTTTGCTATTAAGGATAGGATCCTTGTTATAAAAGTTCAAACAAATTTCCAAAGCCCTCACATCTTCCTTGAGGTGGCAGATGCACCGCTGGTTTGCAGTACAGGTGGTCCGGAAGCTGAAATCACTCTGTTGTAGCCTTTTGTGCTTTGGCAGCATTTTCCAAAATTTTCCTTTTCCACTGTTCATAATCCTGTGTCAGATCTTCATCTTTTTGTGGTTTATGTGGGATCTCTACTACATTCTCTATTTCTATGAGAGAAAAAAAATTTTTAATGTTTCAAAATCCTTGTGTTTACAAATGAGTAAGAAAGAAGTAAGCTTGTTTACTTTAAAACCTCTATCTTAATTAAGGTAATAGGGAATAAGATACCAAAATGAGAAGTGGAAACAGAAGTTAACACATCAGTTTTTCGCTCTCCCTTACACTCCAAGCATTCCAAGACATCTTGATGATAGCTAACATTTATCAAGCCCTGAATCCAGCACTTTTTAATTGTATTATCTCATTCAACCCTCACCACAATTATGTGAAATGGGTGCTAATATTAATCACATTTTATAGATTAGGAAGTTGAGGCTCACAGAAATTGTCACTTTCCTAAAATCACAGAACCACTCGGTGGTAAAGCAGGATTTGAACCTCAGCAGTTTGCCTTCAGATGTATTCTTAATTACATGATACTTCTGTAAACTACTGCTTGGAAAACTGTCTTATCAAATGATTAACTTCCAGGATTTAGTTAAAATCTGACTTTTTTTTTAATTGAAGTACAGTTGATTTACAATGTTGTGTTAGTTTCTGGTGTACAGCAAAGTGATTCAGTTATACATATATGTATATTCTTTTCCATTATGGTTTATCACAGGATACTGAATATAGTTCCCTGTGCTACAGTAGGACCTTGTTGTTTATCCTTCGTATATATAATAGTTTGTATCTGATAGTCCCAAACTCCCAATCGAACCCTCCTCCTTGGCAACAAGTCTGTTCTCTATGTCTGTGAGTCTGTTTCTGTTTCGTAGATAAGTTCATTTGTGTCATATTTTAGATTCCACATACAAGTGATATCATATGATATTTGTCTTTCTCTTTCTGACTTATTTCACTTAGTATGATAATCTCTAGATCCATCCATGTTGCTGCAAATATAAAATCTGACTCTTGTCAAGGCAAGCTGCTAAAGCAGCAAAGGGCTGTTCACTGCATTAAACCCACTGTACACTAATCCCATTGTACTAATTTCAATGTTCATCCGGTGTTAATAATGCTTCACCCGTTGCTGAAGGTTCAACCACTGTCTTCTTTTTCTTCCATGGTGGAGTAGCTGAATCTCCAGGCTCTCCTTTAGGGGAAAAAAAAAGTATTATCAGAGTTAATTTTTCTCCTATTTTCAATTTTAGTTTTGGGGCTTATTTTGGATCACAAATAAAAACCAGATACCTTGCTTGACCAAATACTAGGATAAGGAGAAGGCAAATGATCTTGCCCTTCTCTTTTCTTTGGCTTTTCCTGTCAGACTTCAGAACAGAGAATCTATTTTCTAGGTATGAATTTACGGAATCACAGGGTTGGTTATTTTGTTTTTGTTTTTTAGTTATTAAGCTATTTTATTTGAAAAATAGAAAAGAACAGTAATTTTCTCAGTAAAAACCGATCTTGTCTACAGATAGACAAGAATATATATTTCAGAGACGTTCTTTCAAATGACACATTCTTGCAACGTGGAATGAATACTCACTGTCGATCTGCTGCCCAATCTTCTCTAACTGTTTACAGAGTCGATCAAACATGGCTTTTTTTACACCGGATGTGGCTGCCATTTTATTTTTGTCCACCTTTAGCTTTAGAATCCTACAAAAGAATTTGATAACTTACTGTTCTTAAGATCAGTATTGTTATCTTCTTTGGCCAACCAGTTATCAACTTATTTCCTTTCCACTAAGGCTTTATGAAGAGCCCCCAACTGTTTAATTTTCCCTTTATTTCAAACGTATATCATTAGCTAAAACCATGCAAACTTACCTTTTAAAGCTATTTATTTAGTTATTTATTGTACTGCGAGAGATAAAATGCACACGGGGTCTGTTACATAACAAATAGGGCACATAAAAACATTTGCTATAGTACTTCATGCTTTATAGAACTCTTACACATCTCAGATGTTAACTTGTTAAATGACAATTACAGCATTTTAAAGTGTTTAACTCACTTTAAACACTTATGATGCTTATATTTATATGACTACAAGAATATAAACCACCCTCCCCTCCAAAAACCCCCCCTAATAACACTTCACAACAACCACTAATGAAAAATACAAAACAAACTTATTTAAAATAACAGACCCATTCAAACCTTTCTTTGTTCAGTGAAACGTGCTTTCAAAAGTGAGGTTGTCAATACTGCTTTCTACCATAACAGCCATACTCCCTCCACACATACATATACCTTTGTTGAAATAAAGGGACTATTTCTATTCACTAATAGTAGCTAAGGGAGCCAAACACACCAAAATTAGTGGTTAAATAGTAAGAAACCTATTCTTTAAGCACCAGCTACAATTTGTTTTCTAATGAGTTTTCCAGCAAGATAAAACAAGACAACTTTAGACAAAGATAACAATTACTAATATTTCCAGGGTAAAATTTCAGTATACACACAGATAACCCCAAAGATTCAAATTAAGAATTTAACATTGAAAAGTTTTATAAATTACTTGAAAAAGAGTTGCAATCAGTACTTAAAAAAATGTGACTGGAAAATCACAACTAAGCACTGTTTTAATGATAGGTTTCATGACTTAGCATACATAGACATATATGTGGCTGTCACTTGGCAAGTGGGCTTTGGGCAACACTAGTTCCTAGTTGTCAGGTCCATCGTGGGATAAACTGAGAATCAGGTCACTTGGCCACTATTAAGGTTATTTAGGAAAATATGCTCTGAGTTGAAATCAACTAAATTAGAAGTATTCTTTGGCAACGAGAAATTTATTTATAAATTATAGACTTTTCTGAATGTTCAAAGGAACACTTACTTGCATGCTGAAAGTAGTGCAGCAGTGGTGAAAAGCGGCCTGGATAAGTCAAGATCCACTTGCTGTGTTTGTGGAAGACTGGACTCATAGCTAAGTGAAAGCAGTGTTTGCAGAGTTATTTGTTAGAAAATATTATTTCAAAGAAACTGAAAATGCAAATCAGAACTTACAAACTATTTAAATGTATAAGATACGCATTCTGTCACTTCAGCATATTAGTTATTTTTTAAGACGGAAAATTACCATGACATTGGATATTTCTGCTTTATGTATCAGTATCGATTTTCAGTTATATGCCTCATACCTTTGCAGTATCTTTGAAGCCATGTTCACTGCTTCTGTACAGCTAAACTGTACAGCTAGGTCTCTTATTCCAATATTCGAGTTCAGGCCCAGTAAACACTCAAAAGATTTAAGGCAACTCTGATACATCTTCTTGTTCAAACCAGAAAGTTTAATTAAATAATCCTTTGAAAGGAAAAACAGATGAATCATAAAAATCATAAGTGCTGTATATTAGTGCCTTTAACACTTGTTTAATAAGTCAACTTTCCAAGATTAATTAATTCTGTGGCAAGTCACTCTACCTAAAGGTTTAGCTTCATTTAGTCAAAAATCAGTAATCATATCAGGCAAGTTAAGTACCGCTGGCAATAAGCTCATACTATAGAAAGGCAGTCATGCATGTGTGCAGATAATTTAAAATACAACATAGTGTTACCACAGCCAAGCTGTGAATTAAAAAACACAGGAGATGCATATATGGTTATTTGCTTTAACAAAGGTGCCAATGTGCAATTCATTGGAAAAACAAAGGAGGGAAGTAGTGGGAGTGAGGTGGGGAGGGAGAGTGTGTGTGAAAGGGAGATAAGAGGGAAACTGGGAGAGAAACAGGAGGATCAACAACTGAGGGACACCAACTCTGCTTGGGAAAGGAAAGCTTAATAAAGGATGTAACAGCAAGGCAGGGTCATTTTAAGACAAACAGGAGCTTGCTAGAAAAGCATTCCAGGTTAAAAAAAAAAAAGGCATTGCATTTACAAAGTCAGTCATTAAGATGCATGGTCTGTTAAGTGAACAGTGTAGCTTGAGGTTAGTAGGGTTCAAGAAGGGCTGGAGAGTTTGATGTTAATGGGGAGCCAACCCATGGGGAGCCAATGGTGTTTTTAATGCCACCATTTTTATCAGTGTACCATTATGTGACAGGCACTGTGTTAACAGTGTAACATATAGTACATTGTTTCCTCCTTACAATTATCCAGTGAAATGGATACCTTTATCCCCATTTGATGGATGAGGAAACTAGAGACACACAGAGTTAGTAACCGGTGGTGTTGAGATTTGGTCTCAACATGTGAGTCTTGCCATAACTTGGCTCTCAACCACTGTGACACTGGAAGAAAAATAATACATGGGTTTTAAAGTATGTGATTTAGGAGAATGATGCTAGTGGCAGTGTGGAAGACAGCCTTCTGTAAAGAAAGAGGTGCTCAGGAAAACTAGGTAGTAAAGAATAGAGAGAATGTTGCAAAAAAATTTTTTTTCTCAAACTCTACAAAATGATTCTAAAGTTCATCTAGAATAACATACGAGAATAGCCAGGAAAATTCTAAAACACGGAGTTTTGATGGGGGCTAGTCCAACCAGAGATGAAAACATGATTAAACTTCAGTGTTGCACCAGATTATTCAGACATTCAGTGGGACCTACTTACCCTGTCCAAGGGGAACTTCACGTAGGAAGCTGCAAGGTCCAGGCACATGACTGCATTGCTGGTTTCTGTGGTTCGTGCCGCTAGGCCAATACACTTCACATGGGATAGTCGCAAGTACTCCTCTGCTTTCCTGAGCAACACATTCACTAAAACTCTTTCCCAGAAGTCTGCCCAATACTTTGGTAAACAATGAATTCAGCCTGGCGAACTTCACTCCGACCCTAATTCCTATGCAAGTTTATTTGGGGCTGGGAATGAAACTCCCATCTTTTGGGGGAGGACAGGGTTCTACAAAACAGAACAGACCCTCTGACTCCAGACATCACTGTGCTCAAGTACTTTCAAGCAAAAGTAAGTTCCTGAAATCCTCCCAAAAAGGCCAACCCTTCTTTCAGCCTTCCATTACTGGAACAAGCATGAATTGTGACATAGGCAGGCAAGTGAGACCAGGGTTCCTCCTTCCTCTAAATCTGTGGTTCTTGGGACTTCCCTGGTGGTGCAGTGATTAAGAATCCGCCTGCCAATGCAGGGTACACGGGTCCGATATCTGGTCCAGGAATATCCCACATGCCGCGGAGCAACTAAGGCCCTGCGTCACAGCTACTGAGCCTGCGCTCTAGAGCCCACGCTCTGGAACAAGAGAAGCCACTGCAATGAGAAGCCCGCGCACCGCAACTATGAGTAGCCCCCACTCGCCGAAACTAGAGAAAGCCGGCGCACAGTAACGAAGACCCAACGCAGCCATACGTACATACATACATACATACTTACATACATAAATAAATAAAAATAAATCTGTGGTTCTCAAACTTTAGTGTACATGACAGTCACCTTGGGGCTTGTGAAAAGATTGCTGGTCCCAGCCCGAGTTTCTGATCAGTAGGCCTATAGTGGGGCCTAAAAATGTGCATTTCTACCAAGTTCCAAGGAGATACTGATACTGCTGGTCCAGGCACCACACTTTGAGAACCACTGTTCTAAATGATTACGAGTCCAGGAGGTGTTCCTTTCCTTCCCTTCTGTCACCTAATTGACAGTCCAAGCACCCAGGCTAGCCCTGCCCCCCCAGTTTAACTACAATTCTTTCTTTCTTTTTTTAACATTTATTTACTTATCGGCTGTGTTGGGTCTTCGTTGCTAAACGCGGTTTTTCTCTTGCGGCGAGCGGGGGCTACTCTTCGTTGCAGTGCGCAGGCTTCTCATTGCGGTGGCTTCTCTTGTTGCGGAGCACAGGCTCAAGGCACACGGGCTTCAGTAGTTGTGGCACGCGGGCTCTGTAGTTGTGGCTCACGGGCTCTAGAGTGCAGGCTCAGTAATTGCGGTGTACAGGCTTAGCTGCTCCGCGGCATGTGGGATCTTCCCGGACCAGGGCTCGACCTGTGTCCCCTGCATTGGCAGACGGATTCTTCACCACTGCACCACCAGGGAAGCCCCAATACTTTATTTCTAACCCTGGATCATGCAAAAGTCCTTCCCATCTCCGGGGTTTTGCACAGGCTGCTGTCCCTGCTTGGGCCCTCTTCGCACATCTTCCCGTGGCTGGCACCTTCTATAAATCGGGTCTCAGCGCCAATGGCACCCCCCCCCCATCCGAGGCTTTCTCGTAAGTTTCTTTTAAATTAAAGGCTGCAGAGAAGCTGCGCTCCGCTCCATCCCCAGCGGCTCCGCACACCACCCCATTCCACTTCCTGCGTAGTCGTTGCCACCATAGACACTGCCCTCCATGAGGTCTCTACCCCGTAGGTCTGCCTCCGCCGTAAACGCACTCTCAATAAGTTTCAGGGAAACGACCCAAGCTCTCCGCCTCTCTCCCTTTCCCACCACCGTGCATCCCACAGTGCTAGCTGTTCCCAGGGGCGTCTACACTCGCCCCTCCGGCCTGCTCACGAAGCTCACTGTCGGGAGGTTTTTCTTAAGGTAGGGCCTAAATCCCTTCTGAGGGCGCAGGGCCGCTGGGGTGCGCCCGACCGGACTCACCTCAGCACCTCCGGCTCGGCGATGCCCAGGCGCGGGGCTAAACGCCGGATCAGACCAGGTTCCATGGCGCGGACAAAGACTACACCCGCAAACAGCTGCAACGCGACGAAACCCGCGCGCGGACGTCTCGCCAGCCAGTGAGGGCCGGGACCCACCCCCCCGCTGCATCTGGATTGGTTGGGACAAGAAGTTGCGACTACCCCGTAAACCAATCCTGGTCTTCCTCTTGAGCGTGCGCGCTGCGAGTACACGCGCCAAGGCAGAAAGTGAATGTGCTCCGGCAGCTCCCACTCCTTTTATTCCTCCCTTTTAGGCAGACGCAAACGCTGCCTTAGGCTCTTGCTGTCTCCTTCTGCAGCCGATGGATTTCCCCCTACTCCGCACTGTCCCGCCACACACTGTGGAGAGATTGGCTGGCGCCTAGGTTCCTCAGTCCAGCGTGAAGTGACAAGGACCAATAAATACGCGAGACTTGGAGGGCCAATCTAGGAGCTGCCTGCAGCGTCCGAAGGCGGAGCTAGAGGGGGCGGGGCTTGGAGGGGCTGCAGAGTCACCTGACCGCGGGAGGCTCCGCGCGGGGTGGGTGCTGTTAGCTGCAGGCTTAGGGGAATCGCCATGGTGAGTGCTGAGGGGCCGCGGGCCCCGGGCCGACCCTTCTCCCAGCACCTGCTCACTCCCACCGCCTTGGAGCCTTGCAGGAGGAGTCGGGGCCCCGCAGCCGGGTCGGGGCTAATACCAGCCCGGCTTGGCCTGCGGGGTGGGCGACAGGCCGGGGAAGGCCGCAGGCGGGGCGATCCGGGCTCGGGTGGGCGGGGGTGCTTGGCCGCGGCCGTTACTCTTTGAGGAGGTGTCTCCGCCCATTAGCTCTGGGGGTCCGTGAGGGACTGCGGCCCCTCTGAGTGGAGTCGGCCACCGCCCGCCTTGATGAGATCCAGAGTGCCGGGTCTGGGCGTCTGGCTGGAACGGGAGCGTGGGGAGGGCCTGAGGCTCAGAGGTGGCGTTGGGATCCGCCCAGAGGCTGCTCCCTTGCTGGCGGTTCCACCTTTGTGCCTGGTAGTGCTTTCTTATCCCTTCCTTGTGCAAGAAATACCTTCCGGAGGGGCCTTAATGGTGCCCGGGCCTTCTTCGGCCTCATAGCCCCCTTCGATTGCAGTGTGTGTCAGAATTCTAGGGACTCGCTTACGTGAATTTCCTGGAAGGACTCATGCTCTCTGATATCTACTAATTCTGAGAGACGGAAAGGAGACTGCTTGTTTCCTTTAACACTTGTTCGTTGGGCGTCCTGGCTCTCTTACTGACCTCCCCATTGATGAAATCCAAGTGTTTTACTTCCTGGAAGTAGGCATACTCCTTAGCGCCTCTCCGTGCTGGCAGCAAATCGTGGTGTGGCTGTTGGCTGGTGAACTTGAACTTCCTCAAAGTGTGAATCCTTGTGTCTAGTTTCCACAAAGGCAAGTTGTCACTTGCATTTTATTAGCGTTTGACATAGTCTGCACAGTATGAATAATGTTTTTGGATGTTGGTGTACAGTATGTCAGTTTTATCTCACTATTTACTTTACGTAGACAGGCTTCTGAAAACCTGTAAGCCTGGAAACAGGGGTCGCTTTAAATGTGTTAATGCCAGAAAGCAGAATGTTTGACATATATTACTTTCATATAATATGATGCCATACAAGGTGATTTTGCTTATTTCTCAGAATTTTTAGTTGGGAATTGATATGAGAACGGTGCAAAAATTAAACTAGGATATCTCTGTTTCTCAACGTTTATGGATTGACATTTATAGTGTTTTGTAATCAAAGCAGTTACTTGAGGATCTACAATACATCCAGATTCTGTGCTTGATGAACCAGTTTGGAGCAGTGAGCCAGACACAGTGAGCCAGTCCTGTTCTCATGAATTTTATTGGAAAGAAAACTTGAGTAGCAGTCTTGTCACAGCCACTGTCTCTGTGACTTGGGCAAGTCACTCAATCTTCTTTGAGTCTCCTTTTTGCATCTGAAAACAAATGTTGCCTCTTTGGCCCTTCCCAATCCTAAAATTCTAGGATCCAGTTCAATTCATCATGCATCTTGTGTGCCTTCTATGTCATGGACTGTGCTGGGCAATGGGAACATAGTCCTTGCTTTCAAAGAACTTAAGGGTCTAGCAGGGAAGACTTGCTTGTGGCACTTAATGGAATACAGTCTGAGGATCGCTTTGCTAGCACTGTCAACTCAGTGTTGTGGGGCCCTGGAGGGAGAGACGGTTCTGCCTGAGGAGCTTGGGAAAGACTACAGGAAGTAAATGTTAACTTTGATTCTGAGGAAGGTGAGCAGAAATTCCCCAGGTGGAGAAGAAAGCGTATTGCTAGTAGATAAAGCTGGGAGAAGTGAATGCTCATGGTGTGTGCCATCATAGGATTCCTGGGGCAATTTATTGGTAAATTAAGGTGGAGACACTTTGGTATTAAAATACATGTTTGGACGTTCCCATCCCTTCATCATCCTTAGTTCTCCCTACTTCAATTGCTATTTTGTGTCTTATCATCATTTTTAAAATAGTACTTTCATTAACATAATGAAATTCTGTATCTTTGAGAGACTGGTTATTTTCACTTTACAGTTGCTTTGCATCGCGTTGTTAGATTACATCTGTAGCATGAGTGGAGAGATTGACAAATAAGTTTCTAGGATCGTTGGAGATAATTGCTGATGTCCAAGGGGGATATAATAATAATGGTAACACTTATGTGAAGTGCTTATTACTAAGTGCTAAGCACTTTTCAAGCTTTATCTGTGTCACTTCACTTATTACTCATAACGGTGATGTAAGTACTCTTATTAACCTTGTTTGCTACAAGAGGAAGTGAAAGCACATTGTTTGAATGGAGAATAGTTTTATAAGTGATATGTTCATAGTGACCTTTGTTCTCTCTGCACCTTTTTGAAAAAATAAATTTATTTATTTAATTTTGGCTGCGTTGGGTCTTCATTGCTGCACACGGGCTTTTTCTAGTTGCGGCGAGGGGGGCTACTCTTTGTTGTGGTGCATGGGCTTCTCATTACGTGGCTTCTTTTGTTGCAGAGCATGGAGTCTAGGCGCGCGGGCTTCAGTAGTTTGTGGCCCATGGGCTTAGTTGCTCCGCGGCATGTGGGATCTTCCTGGACCAGGGCTCGAACCGTCCCTGCATTGGCAGGCAGCTTCTTAACCACTGTACCACCTCTCTGCACCTTTTAACTGTGTAGACTTGGGAGGGCTGTTCGGCTTGAGTCTCACGCTAAAATGGGCCTGATCACAAATGTTAATTTGATTTTGACTCTGTAGTGTTTCCATTTTTCTCTGATGCATGTAGCTGCTATGTACAGGGTCATTTGTAAACGGAGAACCACTTTCATGAGTGAGGAATCATTGGTTACCTGGCTTGTGTTTAATGAGAGCGTGTTCACGTTATACCTGACACTACTCGCAATGTGACACTTCCCAGGAAGGGCATCTAGATGCTCCTTTAGAATAGCCATTTGGGGACTTCCCTGGTGGTGCAGTGGTGAAGAATCCTCCTGCCAGTGCAGGGGGCACGGGTTCAAGCCCTGGTATGGGAAGATCCCACATGCCACAGAGCAACTAAGCCCGTGTGGCACAACTACTGAGCCCATGTGCCACAACTACTGAAACCCGCGCACGTAGAGCCCGTGCTCCGCAACAAGAGAAGCCACCGCAATGAGAAGCCCGTGCACTGCAACGAAGAGTAGCCCCTGCTCGTCACAACTAGAGGAAGCCCACACACAGCAATGAAGACCCAATGAAGCCAAATAAATAAATAAGTAGACTAGAATAGCCGTTTGTATAATAACTACATTGTCTTACAAGTAATATGTAAAAATACATTAATATAGCTTTATCTCTTCATTTGTAGCCTACTAATAAGTCTGTAATTTTCTACATTGTGTATATATATGTTTCTATTAATTTTAAACCCCATTGATACAAAATAGAAAAATTTTGCCAATTTGTTTTCAGATTACTGAATCTGGTCATTTCTATACAAGTATTTTTGAATTGCTTGTAATCTCTTTTTTTTTTTTGAAGTCAAATCACCCTTTATTCTTCTATTCTGCACTTGATGCACTTGGTGCTCGGTAGGTTGAATCAAAAATGATTTTCTTTTTTTTTTTTAACATCTTTATTGGGGTATAATTGCTTTACAATGGTGTGTTAGTTTCTGTTTTATAACAAAGTGAATCAGTTATACATATGTTCCCATATCTCTTCCCTCTTGCGTCTCCCTCCCTCCCACCCTCCCTATCCCACCCCTCCAGGCGGTCAGAAAGCACCGAGCTAATATCCCCGTGCCATGCAGCTGCTTCCCAGTAGCTATCTACCTTACGTTTGTTAGTGTATATATGTCCACGCCTCTCAATTGCCCTGTCACAGCTCACCCTTCCCCCTCCTCATATCCTCAAGTCCGTTCTCCAGTAGGTCTGTGTCTTTATTCCTGTCTTACCCCTAGGTTCTTCATGACATTTTTTTTTCTTAAATTCCATATATATGTGTTAGCATACGGTATTTGTCTTTTTCTTTCTGACTTACTTCACTCTGTATGACAGACTCTAGGTCTATCCACCTCATTACAGATAGCTCAATTTCGTTTCTTTTTATGGCTGAGTAATATTCCATTGTATATATGTGCTACATCTTCTTTATCCATTCATCCGATGATGGGCACTTAGGTTGTTTCCATCTCCGGGCTATTGTAAATAGAGCTGCAATGAACATTTTGGTACATGACTCTTTTTGAATTTTAGTTTTCTCAGGGTATATGTCCAGTAGTGGGATTGCTGGGTCATATGGCAGTTCTATTTGTAGTTTTTTAAGGAACCTACATACTGTTCTCCATAGTGGCTGAACCAATTCACATTCCCACCAGCAGTGCAAGAGTGTTCCCTTTTCTCCACACCCTCTCCAGCATTTATTCTAGACTTTTTGATGATGGCCATTCTGACTGGTGTGAGATGATATCTCATTGTAGTTTTGATCTGCATTTCTCTAATGATTAATGATGTTGAGCATTCTTTCATGTGTTTGTTGGCAGTCTGTATATCTTCTTTGGAGAAATGTCTATTTAGGTCTTCTGCCCATTTTTGGATTGGGTTGTTTGTTTTTTTGTTATTGAGCTGCATGAGCTGCTTGTAAATTTTGGAAATTAATCCTTTGTCAGTTGCTTCATTTGCAAATATTTTCTCCCATTCTGAGGGTTGTCTTTTGGTCTTGTTTATGGTTTCCTTTGCTGTGCAAAAGCTTTGAAGTTTCATTAGGACCCATTTGTTTATTTTTGTTTTTATTTGCATTTCTCTAGGAGGTGGGTCAAAAAGGATCTTGCTGTGATTTATGTCATAGACTGTTCTGCCTATGTTTTCTCTA